CATCAGCCGGGCCCAAGAGCTGGGCTGCCTCGTCTTCCACGGGCCACCAAGACGCGAGCGGCGGGTGGCGGAGGAGCAGCAGCAGGAGCAGCAGGAGCAGCAGCAGCAGCAGCAGCAGCAGCAGGAGCAGCAGGAGGAGGAGGCGACGATGACGACGACGGCTGGAGGCAGCAGCTCGTGACGAGCGGCGGCCGCGTCCTCTCCGTGACGGCCGTGGGTCACGACCTCCGCGGCGCCCTGACCCTCGCGACCTCCGGGGTCGCGGCGATCCACTTCCAGGGCGCCTTCCACCGGCGCGACATCGCGCACAGAGGCCTCGCCGAGGGGGCCCGGGAGGCCGCTCCACTACTACCGTGAGACATCCGGGACGTTCCTCCCAGAGGTCGCAAACGGGTTTTGATTCCTTACCCGTACCCGGCCGCACCAGGGTCACAAACGGCTCCCGTACCCGGCCGTACCCGTACCCTACCCGTACCCGGCCGGGTACGGGTAGGGTATGGGTATTGGGTACCCGATTGCGACCTCTGGGATGAAGCCATGTTGCAGGCGCGGGTGGGTTGATTCTAGGAACTTGAATTGTGAGAAGAGACAAGACGTTGGGAAATGAGTGACAAACGGTTACTCACCAGTGACTCGCGGTCTACCCGTACCCGTACCCGGCCGCACCAGGGTCGCAAACTGGTACCCGTACCTGGTCAGGTAGGGTACGGGTATCGGGTACCCGGTTGCGACCTCTGGTTCCTCCCTCGCGTCGATAACTATGCGGATCGGTGACGATAAACTAAAATACTTTTCTATTTTACCGGTAAGCGCTCGCCCGGCTGTGCGGCTCTTTTTCAGCAGCGACCACCTGGGTGTCAGAAATGATAGCTCGACCAAGTGACTCATCGTCGTCGTCGTCATCATCATGTGGACATTTATAGCAGCATCCACGTTCTCTAAACGCGTGGTGATGTTGATTCTAAATGCGGAGGGAAAAACCCGAGGATCCAGACCACGGGGAGAGAGAGAGACGAGAGAGACTACAAATACACAGCAGGCATCGTCAGGGTCGGGATCGAACCCACGACCTCCTGCACACCAGGCGAGGGAGTTAACATCTCCTAGTGATGATGACGGTGGTGGTAGTAGTGATGATGGTGGTGATGGTAGTGATGATGATGGTGGTGATGGTAGTGGTGACGGTGATGGTGGTGGTAGTGGTGATGATGGTGATGGTCATGGTGACGATGGTGGTGATGGTCGTGGTGACGATGGTGGTGATGGTCGTGATAATGGTGGTGTTGGTAGTGGTGATGTTGGTGATGATGGTGGTGGTGATGATGATGGTGGTGGTAGTGGTGATGCTGGTGGTGATGGTAGTGGTGATGATGGTGGTGGTGACGATGGTGGTGATGGTAGTGGTGACGATGATGGTGGTGGTAGTGGTGATGATGGTGGTGATGGTTGTGATGATGGTGGTGACGATGGTGGTGACGATGGTGGTGATGGTAATGGTGACGATGATGGTGGTGGTGGTGATGATGATGGTGGTGGTAGTGGTGATGCTGGTGGTGATGGTGGTGATGTTGGTGATGGTAGTGATGATGATGGTGGTGGTGACGATGGTGGTGATGGTAGTGGTGACGATGATGTCCCCTGCACCCCTCCCATCCCCCATCTCCCGCCCCAGGCCACTGACGTACGCCGGCAGCGGCGTGGACATCGATGCAGCCGACGCGCTGGTGACCTCCATCAAGCCCCTCGCAGCAGCCACGGCGAGGCCAGGTGAGGAGTGGGTGAGAGGGTGAGAGGGTGAGTGGGTGAGTGGGTGAGTGGGTGAGTCTGGGTGAGTGGGTGAGTGGGTGAGTCTGGGTGAGTGGGTGAGTGGGTGAGCGCTGGTGACCTCCATCAAGCCCCTCGCAGCAGCCACGGCGAGGCCAGGTGAGGAGTGGGTGAGGGGGTGAGTGGGGTGAGTGGGGTGAGTGGGGGTGAGAGGGTGAGTCGGGGTGAGTGGGTGAGTCGGGGTGAGTTGGGGTGAGTCGGGGTGAGTGGGGTGAGTGGGGTGAGTGGGTGAGTGGGTGAGTCGGGGTGAGTGGGTGAGTCGGGGTGAGTGGGTGAGTCGGGGTGAGTGGGTGAGTCGGGGGGAGTGGGGTGAAGGGGTGAGTCGGGGTGAGTGGGTGAGTCGGGGTGAGTGGGTGA